ACAATGAAAACAAGTGAAAAATTAAGTAATTGGGAAGAATCGGGCATAAGACAAGTACTACAAGAAAAAGAATATTTTCAGTCAGCAAAAGGTCGGTACTCTTCGATCATTTTTTGATTCTTATTTAATGCGATGGCGTATTAAGTATATTTCCTCCAATTTTTAGCATTGTTACAGTTAACACCATCGTATGTATGTGCTGTATTAAATCACTTTCTATCAATTCCCATTTATACAAACATTGAAAACTAGAAAAACAAATCTGTATTTTAGTGCAATAAAAATATGATTTACTATTGTACTAAAACTTTTGTTGTAGAAAACAGATCTTGAATTGTCATACAAATTGTTTTCCTACACACAAACCGTATAAAATTTATTTTTAAATTCATGATAAAGAAAACATATGTATGAATTTTCTAAGGTGAGTCACTTGATTAAAGATTATTAAACGATTTATTTCTGGCACAAAGCTCGTTGCGACAAGCGGTATCGAAATACATTTTTTAGCTATGACACGTTCATATTTTACTGCATTTGTATTAGAAAAATGTAGCAGTGTTTAATTTAATCCGATAGTTTACGATGCAACGGTTTTAGAATCAGAGCTGCAAATATTTTGTTTTTTGTCATATTCAGGTTCATATTAGCAAGACTGAATCAGTTGGTAATTAAACCAAAACTTAGAGAGAATAGAGGCTCTACTAACATCATCCATCATCATCCAGCCTTCTTAATCCAGAGTTAAACATAGGCCTCCATTAATTTCTTCCAGTTTTGTCGGTCTTGAGCTTCTTACAGCCAATTCACAAAGATTATTTTTGGTTGCATTATTATATATGTTTTCGATCAGTTTTTTTTTTGGCATAGACTTTTAGTCATTCAGCCAGACTCAACATGGTAAAAAAATATACAAAACAAAGAACAGGTAAACAGGGTCACTCTCTTCTCGCCTAGGGGCCCATCAAGGAATTTTTTATAAGACATACAACACTAGGCTACGGTAAGAGGGGAATTTGACAATTGGGAAATATATTATGTTTATAATATAAAAAATTTTATATAAAACAAACAATCAGTTTGGAGTACCGAAAATATCCCTTTACCGCATCATATGCCATAAATGGCACAAACCAAAAACTTTTTTTTAATGTTTTAACTCAATTTTTGTTTGAGCTGCCTGGCAGCCCATATCTAACACGTACTAATAGTGTAGCAGTGGACAAGTTCATTCTTGTTGAAATTCTGAACCACGTGAAACAGTAAAAAGGATTTTTACAGCGAGAAAAAATTGAAATTTATTGTATTGTGATATTGGATAACTGCTTAGGTAAGTACTAAAAATTAAGAATGTTGAAAGTCTCTCTAAAAACCCAAAAAGGGTTTGTGCTATATATGGCACACTATGAAGTTATGGACTCATTGGTTGTTTTTGTAGATATGGATCTGAAACTCTTTTATGGTACAATGAATACAGTTAAAATTCCAAATAGTACTAATAGTGAAGAATCAGATCTCTCCGATGAAGACGGCACAAATTAGATGATATTGTGTCAAGATAGTGACAATGAAGAGCGTGAAAATTTACCAAACAATATCAAGGAAACTGTCATTTCTACCACATCCTTAGATTCCTCAGATAATGATATCCCTTTATCTAAAAGACTGAGACATAAAAGGAAGAAATCTCATAATTAGGTGAAAGGAAATCTGAGAAGATCAGAAATTGATACAAAATTTACTGGTTCTGAAAAATTACGTTTTTTGATTTTACAATTAGAAACTCCCATCCAATTTTTTATTCCCGTTTTTTTTTTTGTTGATAGTCTTATAGAGCACATCACAGACCAGTCAGATTTATTATCAGTGTAACAACGTCTAGATAAACCAGCTAATATAAAAAAATATGAAATAGAACAATTTATAGGAATTACTATTTACATGTCGATAATTTAACTTCCATCAACAAGACACTATTGCAATGCCAATATTGACCACCGAGCAGTTAGCGATGTGATGAACTGTAACAGACTCGAAGAAATAAAACGTTTCTTGTATTGCAATAACAATGATGACATAATTAAAAATAATCAGCCTGGACACGACAGATTATTTAAAATTAGACCTGTTCTGAGCTAAATCAAAGGACAACTACTCATGGTTCCGAAAGAAGAATATATAATATACCAATAAAAGCGCGAAGCCAGCTAAAGCAGTTTAACCCAAAAAAACCACATAAGTGGAGCATCAAAAACTTTGTGCTGAGTGGTACTTCGGGATTCAGCTATGACTTTAATTTGTTTGCTGGTTCCCAGAGTAATATTGTACCTCTAGGAGCACCAAATCTTAGTATGAGCAGCAACATGATTGTCAAATTACCAGATTCGATTCCAAAACATCGACATTACAAGTTGTTTTTTGACAATTGGTTCACCAGCATACCTCTTATGATATATCTGACCAAAGAGGGCATTTTACCTTTGGGAACAGTAAGAGTTAATCGTGTTCCTGAAGTTGTGATGCCAGCTAAGAAAGAAATGAAGAAGCACGGCAGAGATCATATGGTAAAGAAAACAACCAAAATAGACAATGTGGAAACCGTTACTACAATGTCAACATATGCTAGAAGTGAACCAACGAGAAAAAAAGAAGATTTTTCAAACAAGAAAGTATATATCAAATGATACCTTGTCCTAACAGTATCCTAATCTACAACAACTATATGGGAAGTGTTTAGATTTCCTTGATTCCATGTTGGGATTTTATCGTATAAAAATCAGGTCGAAGAAATATTATTTACGAATATATTTTTATTTCATTGACATGACAGACGTTAGAACTGTTGGTTATTAGCTAAAATAGCGAAGAAATTTGATTTACCCTTCTGGATACCAAACTAGCAATAGCCGATGCTCTTTGCAAAGCCAGAAAACCAATTAAACAGAACAGAGTAGCAAGACCGTCAAGTAGTAGCATTCAGCAGATGTACGAGAACAAACGAAAAAGGGGGCACACTAAAGAAATACCCCAAAAAGACATCCGTAAAGATGGGCTTGATATTATTCCCTATTGGGATAAGAGCACTAGGTCAAGATGCAAATTTGCAGGCTGTACAGATAAAAAATATATATAGTGTGCAAAAAATGCACAATACTGTTGTGTATTCAAAATAGTTTGACTTTAATATTACATTGTTGCATGATGTTCCATATTTGGCACCAAAAATTTTTTTGTCAATAAAGTTTTCCTCGTAGCAAAATTTTTCAATGTTTTTACGTAAAAATAGAATTTAAATGCTTATCTGAACTGATATTAAACGTAAAGAGATATATATGACTTTCCTCCAACGCCCTCATTACGCTGTTAATTTCTATCTTAACAAGGGCTTTACGAAAGTCTACAAAAGCCAGGACAACTGGACGCTTGTGTTTAATGGATTTTTCTATAATCTCATTTATGCAGTGGGGGTGGTCGTTAGTGCCAAGTTTTTCCTAAAAACTGTCTGATCTCTAGGTTGGTAAAAATGTAAATTTGATTTTTGTCTGTTTGTTATTATTCTTGTGAATAACTTGAAGAGGTGGTGTAAGGGCTTCTCGGTTTATTGGATCTTCCTTTTTGTCTAATAAAATGGTACACTGTGTCAGTTTTGCAGGTGTTTCACTTTGATGTAGACATAGGTTAAAAAGTTTCTTTATATTCTCTAAAAGTCTGTCTCCTCAAATATTTACGACTTCTTTAACAAAATTTTCTTGACTTCCGGATCTTTATTTCTTCTAAATTCTCAATTTTCATCAATTTCGATCCGTGATTGACCAATATTTTGCCTGAATTTTCTAGCTCTTTTCTGTTAGTTGCTACTTATGGTTTTGTATATAACTATGTGCAGAAATCTTCTACTGTTCTTATAATTCATCTCTGTTAATGATGGTGTTTCCATCTTTATTCTTTTATCCAAAGAGGCTCTTGTTATCTTCAATATTTTGCTGGATTTATTCTTTCTATATGCTTTCCTTTGGCAGTGTATCTTTTGGTTTTCCTCTATAGCTTCTACTGTAATGTCATTTAGACTTTTAACATAGGTAGGTAGGTAGATGTGTATTCTTAATGTTTTCGAGAATACTGGTGATGTGTTCTTTAAATGCATTTGTATTATGTCCCATTTCAGATAGGTATAGACTTTCTTTAGAGATTCGATACCGAAAGAAAAATTGTAAATGTATGACTCGGATGGAATTCTTCTTCTTAGGGTGCCTGTCCGTTCAGAAGCGATCATTCTGGCTATGATTACTTTGTTGGTTGCTATACGAAATAACTGATTTGATGCCTTGATTTCTCATTATATGTCTTAAGTACTACAGCTTGCCATAAAATACAAACGTATAAGAAAAATAAGCTTCCTGGTCTATATGGCAGCAGATCTATAGTTGCTGGGACTAAGGACATGGAGAGGACTGACCTTGAATACGGAATGCTGCAAGAACCTTTTAATTTTTACCTTCCTAAGAGCTCATATGATTATACAATTATATTGGAAAATCTTAAAAAAAACAATTATCGTTGGCCTAACGTGCTGATCTTATTTATTTTTAAGAATTTAAAAACTTATGTTGTTGTAACACTCAAGAATTAGTAAAAAATTATTAAAAAATCTTTGATTTGAAAAAATTAACTGTCATAAAATACTAACTTCAATAGGAGTTAATATGAGTATGCAATTGTATCAGGAAATCGTAAAATAACAAGTCTAGTTTCTCATAATAATTGTTACTCCTCATTTTTAAAATTTTTAAAACTTTTGTCTTTGTAACCATCAAAATTAAATGCAAAAATCACTTGAAAAAACTCCAGTATGAATAAAATATCAACTGTTATGATTGGTTTAGATGTTGAAAGCTAAACGATTCACTAAATACGTTAGTTATGTATTATGGGTTAGTTGAAGTTTCAAAATGGTGTCAGTATGCGGTGAGTATAAACTGAAAAAACTAGAAGCTTTTTACCTGGTCCGTAACCGTTTCGTTGCCTATTTTCCTCTTCCTCTAACATTCTCAAGACAGCGGAATTTTTTAAGTTGTTGGGTTTTCCAACGTCTGGATTGTTGAAGTCGATGCTGAAACAAAATATTATATGTAGCATAGAAATTTACAGTAAAACATCAATACAAAAGGAATAAATACATTTGATGTGGTTTTGAAATAAATTTCTTAATGCAATTCTATCCCAAAAAACGTGCCTCCTATAGGACGTTTTTTGCACTATATTAGTATTTCCTAGTAGTTTAATAATAGCAATATAGTAATAGACTCTCTAGAGCAGCGTCTCCAAAACTGTACTCCACGAAGCATCTACAGATGCTCCGCTATATGGCGATAATAAATGGTTAGAAACATCAGAAAAAAAAGCTTCGCTAAATCGATGGCTGAAAGCAACAGTGAGATATCATGTCAAATTAAAATTAGAAGATAATGAAAATTAAAGTATGCAGTATTAAAAATCAGAAATAGGTGACCAAAAAGTTATTTTTATTGGATAAAAATCTATCATAATCTAGCCAAGAAATGCAGCAGTAGCCACTGTATCCTTCACCGCCATAGCCTCGCTATGAAAAAAATGCCGCCTTTCTTAAAAGTAGTCTTGGACGAAACCGTGAAGATAATTAATTTTATCAAATCACGACCACTGAATACATGGCTGTTTAGAGTGGTGTGAGATGACATGGGCAGTATACATTCGTCTTTACTTCTTCATACGGAAGTAAGGTGGCTTTCTTGCGGTGAATGTTTAACTCTCTTTGAAATGAAAGCTGAAGTTAGAACCTTCCTAATTGAAACCAATTTTGTCTTAAATGATCGACTATTTAACGAGCATTGGTTAATTAAATTGGGATATTTAACAGATATTTTAACAAAAGGTCAATAAAATTAGTCTCTGACTTCAGGGAAAGACAATAACTGTCTCTAACGCCGATGATAAAATACAAGCGTATGGGAAGAAAAAATAATTTTTGGGCAGAATCGGCGAAAAAACAAAAATCTGGATAGCTTTCCATTAATCACAGAATTTAGAGAAGAACTAAAATCGAACATACATGAAGCTGTCTTTGTCAATTGTACTACACTCATCTGGTAAATTTACTTGAAAACTTCCATAATTATTTTTTTGATAAATTCCTTGACAAAATTAAAGAGAACTTCTGAGTTGCTGATCCATACCTTGCAAGGTTGAAAATCCCAGCTTCTTGAACATCTTAGCAGTGTGAATGCCTGATAGGGATTTTTGGGGTCAACTCAAAGGCAAATTTAAAATTTTGTCAGATAAAGCAAACATTATTCTTCTTCATTTTGGAACAACATACTTATGTGAAGCAGCATTCTCTACATATGTAGCCACTAAAACAAAATATAGATCTTGACTGAATGCGGAACCTGACATTCGATTGCAGTTATCTGTGCAAATGAAGGCAGCCATATTCTTCACATTAAAATAGAGACATTACGTTTTTTAAGATTTTAGTTAATATTAGGTTATATGTAATTAGGTTCTTATATCTGAGATTGAAAAAAAAATTTAATAAAGTGAATAGAAAATGTAATGGTTAATATCTCCCATCCCGTCATGTGTCATGTCAATTTGTCTCTAATGTAGTTCAGATCATCTGATACTGTTCAGAGCGCTGCTGATGGGGTTCAGAAAGTTGCCTACAACTCAGCCATAAGCAGGAAAATAATGTGCTCAAGTGAGGTCTTTTCTAATAATATCCCATCCAACGTGCTCTTTGTGCTTTTGATTTGTGTATGATGCTTGGTTGGTTGTAGAGCTCTATTATTTCCTTATTAGTTTTTCTTCTCCATACGCCGTCATTGTCCTTTATTCCTCCACATATCTTGCGTAATATCTTACTTTCCCGTTGTTCCAATTTCTGTGCATTTTTATTGCTTTACACTCAAGTAGTCACTACTTTTCGCAGATGATCAAGTCATTTTTGCACAAGACAGGGAGGATATGGAATATATGATAAGGAAATTAAAGAAAGAATATGAACTTTGGGGATTCAAGATAAATATGTGCAAGACCGATTACTTATGTATTGGACCCGAGGTTGCAGATTTGAACTTAAGTTTAGAAGAAGAGACTATTAAGAGTTGTAAGACATTTAAGGTCAATGATTAGCCGAGATGGTACTTGTATGATAGATATAGAAATGAAAATAGCACGGGGAAAACAAGCCACAAGAGCATTTCATGGAGTGATATGAAACAACACTCTAACCAAAGAAAACAAAAAGAGGATCTTTCAAAGCATAGTGATGAATATTACCCTATATGGAGCGGAAGTATGGCCAATGACAACAACAATACGAAATAAAATGAGAACAGTTGAACTGGACTGTATAAGAAGATGTCTACAAATCACAAGAGCGGATAGAATAAGAACGGAGGAAATATGGAACAGAATAGAAGTAGAATGCTCAATTACAAAAAAATTGGAAAACAGAGCCCTGCGGTGGTACGGGCATGTACAAAGAATTCCAGAGCATAGGTGGCGGAAAAGAATATTAAACTGGGACTCGCCGGGAAGAAGACGGAGAGGAAGACCTGCTACACAATGGAAAACATACGTCGGAAATGCTATGATAGATAGGGACCACAGAGAAGGTGACTGAGAGAATAGAGTGCTGTGGAGGACGAAAACGTCGAACTCATAATAGGAAAAGCCGAAGAAGAAGAAGACACTCAAGTTTCGCTGCCATACACAAGCGAAGGTTGCACCATCGTTTTTTAAATGCTCATTTTCGTATTCCTAAATAATAACTTAGATTTGTTCATTCTGTTCGGTGCTCCTACAGCTTTACTTTCTTTAGTGATTATTTTTTCTATTTCAGTATTTTCTTTGCCTCTATTTATTATCGTCACTTCTGCTACTTATCCTTAGATTATCTTTTGTCTCCATTTCAATCCTATATCCTCTGCAAAAGCCACAACTTGTTGTCTCGTGTAGTATATTATCCATTTGTCTCTACACCACTTTGTCATAGGATAGCTTCTAGGATATTATAGGATAAGGTTATAAATAAAGTTGTGGATATAGGATTCTCTTGTCTTAATCTATTTCTTATCGCGAAAGTATCTGATTACCTTCCTTTCAATATCACTTTATTTAATGATTTTTTAAGGGCATTTCCACTAATTTAATAAGTCTGGTAGGTATTTTTAACAGATTCATCGCTTCGTATAGTTTTTCTCTATCGTTTGATTCCTATCTCTGCTTAAAGTCTACACACAGAATGTGCAAACCTAGATTTTGTTCTTAACTGTTGTGCAATATTTGTTTTATCGTAAAAATTTTATCAACTCTAGACCTTCCATAACTAAACCCTCTCTGATATTCACCTATTTTTTCCTCATATTTTGTTAGTCGGTTTCTTATTAATAAAGCCAATATCTTATAATTATACTACATCTAGTAAAGCAATTAGTTTATAATTTTGGCATAAACTTTTATCTCCATTTTTGTGGATCGGACATGTAGATGCATTTTCCAGCCTTGTGGCAATTTCTCATTTTTCCAAATTCCTTTTTATTACGTTGGTTATTCGTTTAAACAATAGCTGTCCACATTTATTGAATACTTTTGCTGTTATAACGTTTTCTTCTGAACTCTAGTTATTCTTCAGCTGCTTTATTATTTCCTCTATCTCCTGATCTGAAAGTTCGTTTATTTCGTCTTCATTATTGCTTTGCTCGGTCCAGTTTATGATTGTATTTCATTGGTATTTTCCTCTGGGTTCAGGAGATCCTCAAAGTATTCTGCCTACCTGTCTAGTTTTCTTGGTAACTCATCTAATAGCATGCCTTCTTCATTCCTGCAGTAGCATGCGATTCCGATACCTGTAGCTTTATTGACTGTGACTTCTTGGTAAAAATTCTTTATCTCTTTGTTTATCATATAACAAAGTTTCTTTCTTTCTGTTCTTCGTTTCTTTTTTCTGGAGGTCAATTTGGTTTGTTTCTTTGCTGCTTCATAACTTTTTCTCGTTTCTGTTGTATTTGGTATATTCATTTGTATTTTAGTTGGCTTTTAAATCCCTTTTACATTAAAATTAGATTAAAGTTTTAACTCTTGTGGAAAAATGACAAACCTACCAAACGAAAAAAAAAGCTTTTCGCATAGTCAGGCCTAATGTTTTCTTTTATAGCGATATAATCTAAATCTTCACAAGAAATAGTATTTTTAATAATAAAGCTGTTTTATTTTTTATTTTAGTGCTTTTATTTTTAGTGTTTTAGTGCTTTTGCTAGTATATATTTTTTTAAATATACCAATACACTAATACATAAAAATATATAATTGTTAAATACTCCTGTTTTTAAATAAACTCATAAACACATCTATAAATTAATTTATAAATAAAACAAAAATAGCGTGTTTTGTCACCACGGTCATAACTGACGTATTTTTACACGTTTGAAATATATAAACTTTTTGACAGCCAAGGTAAATAGGATGAATTTTCAACATAATTAGAAACATAAGAAATGGTACATTATTAACGCAGAAGACAAATGCTAATCAACAATCTAAAAATAAAGCGTAAACTGCATATTATGTTTGTCTACAAAGTACGTAAATATTTGGTGGATTTCCAAAAAATAATTGTGTACATTTCCAGTGCACCGCGTGTACACCACTTAACACGTTAAATGCCAGGATAAATATCGAAATTTTGTCTTAGAGTTTTATTTTGTTAATATTAGTTTGTGTGTACCATCGTCGTATAGCGGATTTCAAATTATATGTATAACATCTATAAATCTATAACAAGGTATAAAGCAAGGAGTCTAGTCAAAAAACACGACCAAAAAATCTGCAAACAGCCATAGAGTATATTGGAATGGAACCAATACAAGTAGAAGATAAAATTTTGATTTTGAGTTTTGGCAAGAAATATCAGACATTTGAAATATGCCTAAGAACTCTGAATTTAAGTTTTTGCATTATACATGATCTCACTTCACGGCAAATACATCTACAAGACGGAATTAGTGAAATTTGTAGCTGAAGGTTTGTAGTCTTTTAGCACATACTTTTGCAATTAAAAAAAGTAATTTGAAATGTTTTATTTGAACTATAAGGCCAAATATAACGATTTCCGCATGATTCACAAAAAAATTTATAACTTTCAATTCCGACCATATTTTGGAACGTACGGAACGTAAAATTAATGTTAAATGTTTCTACTATTGACTCCATATGATCGATTAGTGCAGGTAAGACTTGAAATTTCAAGGAGGACCTTCAAAAACAGTAAGCAATGCACAATTTTTTCTACGGCGTTCAGATTATGGGTAAATCGATGTTTTTCGTTTTTCCTTTATACGAGGGGGTTTTTAGGGGAACATTGACATAATTCTACAATTTTTTTAAATGTTTTACGAACCTCGAAACGAATTATGACGTACTCCAAGTAGCAGATTAAATTGTATTAGGTAACTGTATAGATAAGAAGGTAAAACTTACCCCACTGCACCATTTTCTAATAGATGGGATTCCCTATCCAATACTTCCTGAATGTTCTGTTGGGAATATAGACCAATCGGAGAATTGAACTGTTTATTTACCAGTCTCGCCATTTTGTCGCTATTAATCGACTTTCGTATCTAATCTACACCTGAAAACAAAATGAAATTATTGTAAATTTGTGTATATTTTCCCATTTTATAAATCTTGTCATTCTGCAGTTATTGATAATTATTATCGTTCCATCTATAAGCTTTTGAGATTTAGAATTGGTACTCCAAACAAATTAAATATGACAATATTTAAGCAAAACACAATTAAGGTATGCCAATATGTTTTGTCGCTAATAACATTACTTTTTTGACGTTGACAGCTCTAAAACTTGAAATCATTTGTGTCAAATTATGTCACAACACATACACATTGTGGTGAATTTGCGCATGGAGGTTAAAATTGAATTTGTCTGTTTCTGTTTTTATTGTGTTTAGGCTAATATCGTTTTATCTATGTAATATAAGTATTTTAATAATATATTAGTGGTGATTGTAAGTGAAAAAAAACTAGTCAGTAAAAATAAGTTTTAATTTTAAAGACATTTTCAAAAATAAAATCCTAATGGGTAAGGCTAAAGCCATTACTGAAACTAAAATAGATAAACACACTTTTGTGGAATACCAAGCTTTCGTAACGCCAGATATCTCAACAGTGAGCAATATCAAGAAAAAAACTTAGTACCAATAAAGCCCTGGCTCATCAACGTGCCCAAAAATGTGATCGATTTATTAGGGGTAAAATATTTGACTATCAAGTGGCACTAAGTAAATTCAAAATGCGAAATAATAGGTCAAGATGGTAGTAGATCGTCCAATAGAAAGAATTACTAAGCAATAGAAAACCAAACAGGACGATTCTATAAATATAAACAACCATATGGTGTGAGCCACCATAAAAACTGCTTATAAAAAATTGTAATTAAGAAAGCCGACCTTGTATAGCAATAAAGGCAACGAAAAGAAAAGAAAGGTAAATAAAAAAATTCAAAGAAAAGACAGTGGTTGACGCTCCAACTCAGAAAAACTTATATAGCCCCATTCCTAGGGGCTATATAAAGAATCCAACCTATGTTTCCATTCACCATAATGTTCCCTTGGCCGTAAGCGAATGGATATTCAATATGTCCTCTAATAGAGCAATAAGCATAAATATAGAAGATGTTTCTGTTAGAAGCACGGTTACGAGGAGGTGTCCATATGGAGAGGGACTCTCAACACTCCTCTGGAACATAATTCTAGATACCCTGGTTGACCAGTCGGCAGCAACGGATTCTACACAATAGCCTAGGCAGACGATATTGCTGTCCTGCAAAGCGATAAGTTGGAGAACACACTATGTGAGAGATTACAAGTTGCTCTTCGGCTCATAGAAACATGGTGCAAGAAACACTAACTATCTATAAATCCTAAGAAGACTGAGATGGTCCTCTTCACCAGAAAAAGAAAAATCACTGTGTTAATACCCTCAAGGATTCTAAACTACAGTTTAAACTTTTCTGTCGAGGTAAAGTACCTTAGCATAACCCTTAAAATTGTACTCACGCTTAGATGGTAGAGCTAAAAGAGCATATATTGACTGTAAGCAATGTCGACGAACGATCGGACGCACTTGGGGTCTTTCACTGAGAGTGATCGCCTGGGTCTACACTGCTGTCATTAGGTAAATGCTAACTTACGGAGTCATTGCTTGGATACCAAAAGCGCTACAGGCAACAGCGATTAACAAACTAAACCATATTCAGCGGACGGTTTGCATAAACATAACAGGTGCCATGAAAACAACACCAACTGCTGCAATGGAGGTGTTCATTGGCATCATGCCTCTAAAAATATGTCAAAGAGGTGACGCTGGTGTCAATGATGCGACTGTGCTCAGCTAGTTCAAACCTGGATGTAGGAGTGGGACAATTGAGAACTCGTTTCCAAGGGGGAGAGTTGGATGCGCTAGCCCTGCTACAGGCAGGCTGCAACTTAATTAAACCAACGTTTGTCTTTGACAAATCCTAGAAAATTAAAACAAGACAGTATAGGAAGAGAAACGTGGCAACTGCGTACATATATACTGATGTCTCCAATACAGAAGAGGACTCAGAATACTCCAGATCACTAAACCTAAGAATAAAGTGGGGTATGGGCAAAAATGCGTAGTTTAGACAAAACTGGCTGGTATCTCCATAACCGCAAAAGAGATAGCCCAGAAAGGTATAGCCAAGACAACTATAATAATCTGCACAGATAGCAGACAAGCGCTACCAATCTTGAATAGACCACGTGTTACATCAGGGTTAGTAATGGAGTGTCCCGAGTCATTAACAGAAGTTTCGGATGGTAATACCATCATATTGAATGGTGTTAAAGGATACAATAGAAATAAAGGCAACCGCATTGCTGACCAATTGGCTAGGAAGGCGGCAGGCCTAAGACCGTTAGGACATGGAGATCTTTTTGGTTGGTCAACTACAACAATCGTAGAAATTGTCAAATGCCACACTCATACGCAAAATGTAAAAAGACGGGAAAAGGTTGGTTTTCTAACTGGTGATTATCAACTGAGCAAACAATTCAACACACTGGGACTAACAGACGCACTTTTAAGCAGAAAGTATTAACGAGAACACGAAACTGTCTACAGTTTCGTGTTCTCGTTAATAAGGTATAACGCAGGTCCTATGTGGCCCACACCAGCCCACATAAGGGAGATGTTTCCTGGTGACTTGTCCAGCTTCCTAGAAATAGCAGGATGGACAATGAGTTAAAGACGACAGCTCCCTGGGAGGATGCACAATAGGTCAATCGTGGCAAAGTGCTGTGGAACTTAACTTACCCTCCCTACTCTACAGACACAGATAGCCCTATTCCTATCACGCCAAATTTAATGTAACTATTAGTTGGTGTTGTAGTCACGCCATTTACAAGTTTAAAACAATTTTTTTTGTTAAGCATTTTAAACATAAATTTGACTATATTTTCTAACTGATGATCTATCGGTAAACTTAGACAGTCCTAACTATAATTTCAATCTAAAATTATCTCAAAATAAGTTTTATGTGCTGTTTTCATTTTTGTAAACCTAAAGCTTTTTGTTTGTATTTCGATTATTCATATACACGATTGTTTGATTGTTGAAAAAAAATGTTGGCTTTGAAACCAATAATACAGTAAGTAGTTACTATAAATATTAATCGTTACAGTAAGGTGAACAGACACAACAAGTGAATGACAAAAATAAAAGTCTGTGACTCACATCTGCTGCATGATTACCATGATCTTAATTCAAGTGACTAATTGTTTTCGTACATCAAATCGCTTTGTTCACCGACGATTTCTAGAACAGTTAATTATATTTTATTTTAAAGATAGTTTTCTTAGATTGTTCAAGTAATAGAAATGACCTGTATTATTTCTATGATTATTGAATACTGAACAATAGATTTGGAGGTGTATGAGCCATTACAATATTTTTAAAATCATTATTTTTTTCTATAATTACAATACGTAGGCAATAATCAAAGATTATTTTTCTTGTCATTAAAGAATCGATAATGCCATAAAATCTAGAAGTGGTGATCGTAAATATCAACCAGATAATAAATCAGAGCCTACCTTTATTTTTTTTAGTTTTTATGTTCTTTTGTGTTTGTGTATTGTGTGTTGCATATCTACTGTGTATAATTGTAAATGATATATCTCCGACATTCTATTAATTCGCTATTGTTGGTACATTTTTGCTGTTGACTTTTTCTTTCAGTATTTACAAGTTTCAGTGTAAACACGACAACAAACACCAACCTTTACGAAGGACACTACCTAGAACACTAACAAGACCAAAAGTACTTATTAAAAGTCCGATCTCAGGTGAAATACAGAGATCATGTATCACGATATGTTAATCATTTTTTTTTTATTTAAATAATGGCTTTGGATAACTTGATCCATTCAGCCACGATAATGTATTTGACTGCTTGAATGTGTTAATGATGTATTAACCTAGTGCATTTATTAACAAGATAGCCTCTTCGCTTCTACGTAAATTAAAAATATATTTTAAACATCAGTATCACAAGAGCAGTAGATTGCCAAGAAACCATACTTTCATTCGTTATATTTAAAGCTCTAACCATTTTAAAGTAAATATTTAGTACCGATAAAGGCATACATAATGGGTGGAATGCATAAAAGGTAGTAGATGCTATTGCTTTAGCAAATAGTATCTAGTTTGTAGCAGTTTCTTTTACATAAAAGGAGGTGCTTTCTTGAAAAGACCATACTACACAACCAAAGTACTTGCTACTGACCTGAAGGATCTACTACTAAACGTAGTGCCCTTGTGCGCATCACACCAATCGTATTAGAATTAGTTTTTTATGTGGTTTTTCATATGCTAAAGTTTTGTGAATAATTATTATTAGAACAAGTGAGTAGTGAGTAAAAATGAGTGGTTCAGATTCCGAAGCGACAAAAGACTTAGGCGAGGACAAAAATGAACAAGTATTGTTTGTTAATCTTCTTAAAACTTATCAAATTTTATTTTATAAAAGAATGATCCCAAAAATTAATCATAAAAAGGAAGCTGCATAGAATAAATTAACTGATGCCTGTAATGAAATTATCGAAAAAAACCTGGATTCAAAACAAATTATGAAGAAATTCAACAACATGAAAACAAAAGTTAAAAAAATTGTTGACATAAAAAACTGGTAACAAAAAAATCGTACTAACTGACTGGCAAAGAAAATTCTATGATTTATGGAACATTGGAGAAAATCCAGTTTTGCACAGGGTACCAGGTGCTTGTCAGGCTAGTGTAACAGAGGAGATTGGGGTTTGATCACAAAAAAATAATGATGAAAATGTTCTTTTTAGCTCCAATTCTGGTTGCTAAAAACTAACAGGCAGAGCTCCCAGAAATCCTAGTGCGAAGAAGGAGTCACTTATTGAACTACAGAAGACCTGCTTACGAAAACAAATTGAAGCAGCCGAAGCTCAAATTTCTTGTGCTCGAGCACAAATTGTTGTATATTCTTCCTGGTTTGTAGATTTTTCTACGACAAACATTCATAAATGCTGCGATTTTTTAACAAAAAACACCTATGCCGAA